GAAAAAGGTACACACAGTGGTGAAGTCGCGAATAAATGGTAGTGAATTTTCGTTCGATTTCTGGATTTTGAAATCGATATCCGGATATCATCCGGACCAGTCTGTGAATATCAGTGACTGGAAAATTCCTAAGAACGTACCATTAGCAGACCCCTATTTCTACAAGCCACAAAGAATAGATATGTTGATAGGAGCAGAATCATTTTTCGAGCTTTTAGCTGTTGGTCAAATTAAGCAAGGTCCTGACTATCCAACTCTTCAAAAGACCCTACTTGGATGGGTTGTTTCAGGCAGATACAAGGCGTCTGCCCCAAGAGATGTTGTGAATAGTTTCAGTTGTAGTGAAGAGCTATTAGTATCGATTGATAGCACACTACAAAAGTTTTGGTCACTGGAAGAAATGCCATCTATAAAGAAAATTCTATCACCTGAGCATAAGTTGTGTGAAGAACACTATAGAAAGACCACTCAGGTTTTGCCATCAGGTCGGTTTGAAGTTAGATTGCCGTTTAAATCTGATCCCACTGGATTGGGCAACTCATTCGAGGTTGCAAAAAGGAGATTTCTGTCGCTCGAAAGAAGGTTGTCGCGAGATCCTGAATTAAAGAAAATGTATCTCGAATTCATGGAAGAATACCTCGCGTTAGGTCATATGTCTCCTACAGACAATAGAGTTCCCTTGACTCCACATTATGTTATTCCGCATCAGTGTGTCCTTAGGCCCCAGAGTACGTCTACTAAGTTGCGTGTCGTGTTTGACGCCTCTTGCAAAACGTCATCTCAGGTGTCACTAAATGATATCTTGATGGTAGGCCCAACTATCCAAGATGAGTTATACTCCACACTGCTCCGCTTCCGGCTGCACAGGTTTGCTCTGACAGCCGATGTTAAAAAAATATATCGCCAAGTAATGGTAAATGAAGCGGATAGGCCATTTCAACTCATAGTGTGGAGAAGAGACCCCTCAGAATCCTTGAGATTATACCAGCTCAACACCGTAACATATGGAACTGGTCCAGCTCCATATCTAGCGATTCGGTGTTTAAAAAGGTTGAGTGAATCTGCTAAACTTTCATTCCCTAGAGCTGCTGAAGTGATTGGATCCGACTTTTACGTCGATGATATGCTAACTGGTGCTGCATGCGTCGAGGAGCTCAGATCTATTAGGTCTGAAGTGTCTCAGGTTCTTCAAACCGCCGGGTTTGAATTGACAAAGTGGTTTTCGAACTCACCTGAGGTCACCGCATCTGAGAGCACAGTTAAATCCATACCGATCTCGGATTCAGAGTCGACGAAGGCGTTAGGCATATCCTGGTTGCCTAACGAAGATTCTTTCAAGTTTGAAATTGACAATTCCGTCATGGGTCTCAGAGCGACAAAGCGGAACATACTATCGGTGACATCGAAGCTGTTCGACCCCCTCGGCTTGCTTAGTCCTATCGTAATCAGAGGAAAAATCCTATTGCAGGAACTCTGGCTGAACAAGTTGGATTGGGATGAGTCGATTCCTGTGCATTTGGAAACTGCGTGGAATAAATTGAAAATTACATTGTCTCGTTTGGAAGAGATAACAATTCCGCGGTATGTGCACACCGATCCGATGTCACCGGTTCAATTGCATGCCTTTGCCGACGCATCCATGAGAGCTTATGGAGCTTGCGTCTATATTCGTAGCAAAACTGCAGAAGGTATTAAACTGTCATTACTGACGTCAAAATCTAAAGTAGCGCCGCTCAAGACTAAAACGCTCCCAAGGCTTGAGTTATGTGCCGCTCACCTTCTCGCAGATCTCTGTCATAGAATCAAACCCCTATTAAAGGTCCCTATCGAACGGATAATATATTGGTCAGACTCGGAAGTTACGTTGCATTGGATTCGATCCCATCCGTCTTCTTTGTCGATATTCGTCTCGAATAGGGTAGCGGAGATTCAGGAGTGGTCAGGAGAAGCTACGTGGCGGCATGTCCCAACTAAACAGAACCCAGCAGATATGGTATCAAGAGGTTGTGACATAGAGGAAATTAGCGATTCAATCTGGTTTACTGGACCATCCTTTTTGAAGAATGGAGAAGAGACCTGGCCCAAAAATTCACATTTCGTTCTTGATGAAAAGGTCCTAATTGAAGAATCAAGGAAGACTGTGGTAACGATGGCCGCCACGGTACGGAAGTCGGAACTGGTGGATGTCATCGAGGGATTTTCGTCACACCTCAAGCTGCTTAGAGTGTTCGGTTACATGTTCCGCTTTATAAGGAAATGCAGAGACAAGAGTATAGTTTTTGAAAAAACTCTGTCTCCGAATGAGTACAACGAAGCCTTCTTAAAAATTGTCGAGACCATCCAGAAACACGAGTATCACGAAGTTCTTGGAAAAGTTCGGAAGAATTCCAGAGTTGGTCCAAGTCTTCAACGATTGAACCCATTCATTCATGAAGACTCGGGTACGTGGTGTAATTTTTCGTTGTTGCGAGTTGGGGGGCGATTAGCAAATGCTCCTATAACGTACGATGCCAAGTTTCCCCTGCTGTTGACAAAATGCTCCCAATTTGTGCAGAGCTATGTCCGGCATTTGCATCTAACCAATTTTCATGTCGGGCCACGAGCACTTGTGAGCCTCCTTCGACAGCGTATTTGGATCGTAAACGCTCAGGAGGTCTGCAGTCAAATAGTTCGATCATGTATTCGCTGCTTTAAATGCAAGCCTCGACGAATGACGCAAATTATGGGAAATTTACCCGCAGATCGTCTCCGTGCTCTCCGCCCATTTAGTATCTGTGGCGTTGATTTTTGTGGCCCCGTCTATACGACATTGAAAATTCGTGGAAGGCCTCCTTATAAGTCCTACATAGCGCTTTTTGTGTGTTTTGCGTCCAAAGCGGTTCATCTAGAAATTGTGTCAGACTTAACCACTAACTCCTTCTTATTGGCTTTCCAAAGGTTCGTTGGGCGCCGAGGATGCCCTCGCACAGTCCACTGCGACAACGCGACGAACTTCGTCGGAGCGAGTCGCCACTTCCAGGGCCTTCGGGAGCGCATAGAGAAGGAGGCAGACGCCATTCGAGAATTCGCGTCAAGAAGCGGATGCGAGTTTGCATTCACACCGCCTCGGGCTCCGCACATGGGCGGGCTTTGGGAGGCAGGTGTGAAAACTGCAAAGCACCTACTCCTACGAGCGGTGGGCAGCGCGCTCCTAACCGCAGAAGAGCTGGAGACGGTGCTCGTCGGGATCGAGGCGGCGATGAACTCCCGGCCGCTAGGCGCGCTATCCAACGATCCCAGCGACGGAGAAGCGCTAACACCAGGGCACCTGCTGACAGGCGGGCCGCTATTCCCCATCCCAGCACTCCGGACCCCGGACCAGGCGGGTCTCAGTTGCTTGCGGCGATGGCAACTTGTCTCGTCAGCCAGGCAAATGTTCTGGCGGCGATGGTCCCTGGATTATGTGCTGGGCCTGCAAATTCGGGGCAAGTGGCACCAGGAGCAGCCCAACATCCAGGAAGGACAACTGGTCGTCGTCGCCGAGGACAACCTGCCGCCTCAACAATGGCTGATAGGGAGGATCATCGCCACTCACGCAGGAGAGGACGGCATGGTCAGGGTCGTCGAAGTGAGGACCAGCGGAGGAGGGATTTTTAAGCGGGCCATCCATAAATTGGCGCCGCTTCCAATATGTTGAAGCCGGACGGGCCTTCAACGGGGCCGGTGTTGGCTGAAGCCAGTTTTTCGTTTTTTTTTTTTTTGAATTGTTAGAATAAGTATTGTTGAATTTGAAGTTTACTGTAAGTTAGTTTAGGGCGAAGGCGGGAGCGCAATAAAGCTTTTGTTCGCTCTCTGCGAGTTCGCTCCGTCTTCGCCAACCTTCGGTAAGCTAGGCTTAAGTATGATTGTGGAGAATAGAGCATTCGTCGAAATTGAGTCTTATCGAGCGCACGTATTCTTTTTTTCGTTGTCGTTTTGCCAAAATAAAAATATTAATTAGCCACCCAAATTTTCGGAATTTAATATTTAGAAAAACGCTTCTAGATTTTCACAGCCTAAAGCCCTAGTAGCTACGGCTGCACCCCCCCCCCCACCCCTGTTGCTTTAGTTTTAACTTTAAGCGAACAGAATGTAAATAAATAAATAAATAAATAATAATAAAGGAATTAAATGTGACCTGTTTTTATCAAAAATGCCGTCAGATAATTAAGCCTGATCAACCAAAAATGACTTGTTGGCTTTGTGCACTGGTTTTAACGGCCAAACATGCTGTGACCTAGCTAAGGGTCCAAACCCGAAGTACTTATGTGATACTTGTCTTGGGGTTGCGAACGAAATAAAATCGTTCATGCGCCAAACCAAAGGTGGCTTAAAGGGGCTGATCAGCTGTTTTGGCGTGGCTAGAGATAGTTTTCGCCGAGCAGATGATTTCCTCTCAGCGCTGGCTATAAGCTATTGGATGAGTCTCCAAAGCGCAAAAAAGCCGCTGGTGGAAGGCAGCCGAAGGGGAGCACCCGCAGCCCCACGCAGTTGACCAGAAGGTCCCCACTGAGGAGCAGCCGAAAACCGCAACAAATCCTCAAATGTTGCTTAGATCGGCAGCAAAAAAAGATTCGGATCATTCCGATCAATCCTCAGTGGAGAGCGTTCAGACCGGCACCCCTAGCTTATTCGATTCGTCCGCACTGGTCATACAACCAGTGATTCCAGGTGCCCCAAATTGTTTACCGACAAAGGGGAACTCTGAGGCCGATTTACCGGCTCAAGTTGTTGTTGCAGAAATTCAAACTGTAGTGCCAAAACCCCTTTCAGTGGTTCCACTTAAGAAACAGATTTTCGTTTCTCGGCTTTCCCCTGACCAATCATCATCCGATGTCTTATATACAAGGCAAAACAAAGGCCGATAACATTAAAGTGGAAAAATTTAATTTTTCTTACGCTCGGGATATTTCATCTTTCAGGATCACTGTCCCGGACGAGCTTTTTTCAACCATATGTTCGGGCAATTTTTGGCCGGCTAATATGGTGGTAAAAGATTTCGAAGCTAGGATCAAAAATAAAAAAAAGGCCCGTGGAAATAAAACTTCCTTCGAGTGGCCAGACCACTAAACCTTCATCTACATCTTCCTCTTCTTCCTCTTCCTCAAAAAACTAACATCAAGCCTTCTTCTTTCCTATCAAAATGCAAGGGGCTTGCGTAGCAAGCTAACTAAATTGCATTCTGATATCTTTTCTTTTGCATCCTATATTATTGTGTTTACAGAAACGTGGTTAAAGTCGGAGATTCTTAACTCCGAAGTTTTTCCAGGTATGTACACAATATACAGGCATGACCGGCCTTCCAAGCGGGGTGGTGGAGTCTTAATTGCGGTTGAGTCCACCCTCACTTCGGAGGAGGTGCTTTTTGATGAGCTCAATAGCATAGAATTTATATGCGTAAAGCTGTCGGTTCCCGATAGTCTTATTTATATAACTTGCTCCTATATTCCGCCATCCTCTGAAACTTCAGTTTATTTTAATCATTTGTCTGTCATACAGTCTGTTTCGGATAAGCTTTCAGATAAGGATCAATTGGTAGTTCTAGGAGATTTTAATATTCCTGGAACTATTTGGTCCCCAGATGAAAGAGCAAATGTCCTACTGCCTACAGGGTTGCCCATATTCGATGGACCCATCTGACGACGCCATAACTTTTGACAGAGATGCCAGATCGCTTAATGACAAACCGCGTTTGAAGCGTCAGTCCAAGCAGATTTTTACCATGGAACAATACACGCCACGCGAGCGCTCTGAAATAGTGGAAATTTACATTCAACAGATCAAGTCAATTGTGAAAACTCAACGTGCTTAAATTATCATGTCCGATGAAGCCCATTTCACATTGAATGGGACCGTAAATAAGCAAAATTGCCGTATTTACGCCACTGAAAATCCTGAGAAGATTCAAGAAGTGCCTCTTCACGACGAAAAAGTCACAGTTTGGTGCGGCGTTAGTTCGAAAACGGTCATTGGGCCGATTTTCTTCCAAAATGAAAATGGCCATGCTGTTACCATCAACCAGGAGCGTTATCGCGACATGATGACCAATTTGGTGATGCCAATTATTCGTCGAAAGCGTATGAGGCAGTTCTGGTTTCAACAAGACGGCGCTCCACCGCACACAAGTCGCATAACAATCAATTTTCTGAAGAAATTGTTTCCGGGCCGTTTGATGTCGAAAAGTGGTGATTTGGACTGGCCACCGCGTTCGCCCGATTTGACGCCGCCTGACTTCTTCTTGTGGGGATATTTGAAGTCAAAGGTTTACGTTAACAAGCCAAGGACCCTAGAAGAGCTCAAGGAAAACATTCGTGAAGAAATAGCCGCTATTCCGGCCGAAATGTTGGCGAAAACGATGGAAAATGCTGCAAAAAGGGCACAATACGCCATCAACGCCAGAGGCGGCCATTTGAAAGATATCATATTCAAAAATTGATGTAAACAAATCTACTTGGAACAAATTAAATGATTAAGATTGCCAACCGACAAATTTTTATTTTTTTTCTTTGATTTAAAAAAAAAAACATGGGTCCGTCGAATATGGGCAACCCTGTACAGCACAAAATGACTTTATTGACGGCTTGCTTGACACTTCATTATCGCAAGTCAATCATATACGAAATTGTCTAGGTCGTTTACTGGACCTCTGTTTTGTATCTAATCCTGAAAATGTGTTTCTCTCCAGGGTAGCACCAATTACTCAACCTAAAGATCCATATCATCCTACTCTTGAGGTGACAATAGACAAAGGTACCATAATAAAAGAGCAATCTGTCAAGTCTGCTAAACGAATTTACTGTTTTCGCAAGGCTGACTTTTTGAGGCTAAGAAATTTAATATCTTGCTATAATTGGTCCGATCTTTACACTTGCAATAATATGGCGGATGCCATAAATATATTTTATATAATACTATAATCCAGACTTTTTTTTATTCTTGTGTTCCGAAATACTATCCGTCTATCTCTAGCCAACCTCCTTGGTTCAATAACGAGTTGACACACTTAAGAAATGTAAAATCCAGAGTTTATAGGAAATTTAAAAATACCTGTTCTCACTCTATCTTTTCAAAATATTTAAAAGCTCGGTCAAATTTTACCGTGCTTAATGCTCAGTATTACAAAAACTATTTAAATGTTGCAAGGTCCAGTTTGCGCAGGATCCGAAACAGTTTTATAATTTTGTTAATACTAAGCTTCTTCTTTCCCTTCCTCGTTATCATTTGAAAATACTACGGCAACATCGGACAGGCAATAGCCGATTTATTTGCCCAGTTTTTTCAAACAACATACTCACCTCACTTACCTCACTATGATCAGCCCTATTCTTATGCTGTATCCAAGTCGAATTTAATATTCTGTCCCACTTTAAACGAAAGCTCGCTACTTTGCTATCTTCAGCGTGTTAAGCCTGTATATTCACCAGGTCCCGATGGCATTCCTGGCTGTGTGTTTAGGTATTGCGCGGAAGCCTTGTGCAAGTCGTTTCTCAAATTATTGACCCTCCCTTTGGAAACGTCACAGTTTCCCCATATGTGGAAGGAGTCTTTTGTCATTCCTCTTCACAAAAAAGGTAACAAATCGGATGCAAGCAATTATAGAGGTATCTCCAAATTGTCTGCCATTCCTAAGCTTTTTGAAAAAGTTATCACCCCTCACTTGCAGCACCTGTGTAGGTCAATAATTTCACCGTGTCAACACGGTTTTATAAAACAAAGATCAACAACCACTAATCTCTTGGAGTTTACTTCATTCCTGATTAGGGGTTTTAAACACAATTTTCAATCAGATGTCATTTACACTGACTTTAGTAAAGCATTTGACTCTGTAAATCATTCACTTCTTGTAAGAACACTTGACTAATTAGGTTTCCCAGTTGATCTTCTAGAATGGATCTTAAGTTATCTGAATGGCAGGACACAAAGGGTGATGATGTTAAATTGTGCTTGCAGTATAAGGACATTTCTTGCCGTTCGAATTTACAATCCGATCTAGATAGCTTATAAACATGGTGTAGTGATAAATTACTCAACTTAAACGGCTATAAGTGTAAGCTTATGACGTTTTGTCGAACTGACCCAATACGGGGGGCTTACACTTTAAGTGGGTGCTCTTTGGACAGAACAACTCAGGGTGATGATCTTGGGGTTCTTCTGGACCCAAAATTAAAATTTTCTATCCATATTTCGTCTATGGTGAATAAAGCCAGGAGTGTGCTTGGATTTATAAAAAGGTGGTCAAAGGAATTTGACGACCCTTACATAACTAAAAATTTATTTATTTCGCTTGTTCGTCCAATTCTTGAATATGGATCACCGGTCTGGAGTCCCCAATATGGAGTTCATTCGGATCGTATTGAATCGGTCCAAAAAAATTTTTACTTTTTGCCCTAAATAGGGATGCAAACCTTTTATTACCCTCTTATTCTAGTAGACTACTTATAATTAATTTACCCTCCCTAGCCAACCGTAGAACGATGCTTGGAACAGTTTTTAAGTTTAATCTTATTTGTGGTAAAATTGATAGCCCCGACTTAGTAAGCAGGCTAAACTTTTCTGTTCCAAGTAGATTACCAGAAATTACATCCCTCTAATTTTAAATCAATGTAGATCTAACTATGAACTGCATGATCCCTACAGAGTTTTGTGTTCTGACTATAAGAGACTTTATCCTATTATATCTATTTCTGACTCTCTGCCGCTCTTAAAGCGATCTCTTCTGACTTTTTTAGCTCATAATTAGATCTTATTGTGTTCCTCCTCATTTTCCTCAGCCATTTTCTTGTTTTTCTAAGTCGCGACTCTTTTCTCGCGAACCGAGCCGTATGATACACGGCAGCGCCCCTCGGTCGGTTGGGCGGGAGGCGTGGCCGTGGGACACGCGCGTCGTAAAAAAAAAAAAAAAACAATTTTATGCATTAATTTTAGTTATATAATTTTACTTATTATTATTTACAATGTATAAAATAGGTTATAAATTTACTTATTATTATTTACAATGTAACAGGTTCAATAAAATAGGTTCTTATGTTTAATCAATTAATTCAATTTTCTTTTTCTTTTTCCGCCTCTCGTGGTCTTATCTCTCTTCTAGTGATTTCAGAATTGGTATTATTTGTATCTTTGTTTGTTTTAGAAAAGTATATTATTTGTATCTTTGTTTGTTTTAGAAAAACAAAAACTTTTCGCTCTCTTCAAGGTAAAGGTCGTGTTTTTTTGTGCGCTCGGAATTTTTCATTTTTATCTATACAAACCAGCGGTGGTTCTATTTTAAATTTGAATATTTAAACATTTAAATACACTTGTTTTCAAAGCCGTTCGCTTCGCGAGTGAATTTTGTGCGTTTTATCATAAAATAATAAACTTTAACGATCTGATTTTTGTCTTTTTGACTACTTTCTTTTGTGCTTCGTCCGTCAACAGTAGTGTTGTTGTTAGAAGTGCATGCATATTAACTGACCCGCTCTCCCGCTTTCTCTTTTGTACTAACATACTCGAAAGTTCTAAGCGTGCAATTTATACGCTCTTGCGGTACATTTGAGTTGCTCGCTTACAAATTTCGATTTGATTTTCTCTGGTCCGTAACATAATAAACATGGAATCCTAAAATGTCTGCTTAAAAAAAACCTGGCTTCAGGTAATAATGCCTGAGCAGGGTAAACTCACTTGTTGGCTTTGTGACAGGATGGTGCACACTAAGTGCGCTGGATTCACAGGGCGGACAAGTGACGATCTAAGTAAAGGCCTTGGTTTGCAGTTCTGCTGTGGAGCTTGTCGCTAAGTTGCGAAGGAAATGAAGTCCTTCATGAGCCAAACTAAAGGAGGCCTTAAGGGACTGACCACTAGTTTTGGCATAGCTAGAGATAGTTTTGCCAAGGCTTATTATCTACTCTCAGCGCTGGACTCGCAGCTTAATAGCCTTAAGCTATTAGATGAGTCCCCGAAGCGCAAAAAGCTGGTGGTGGTAGGCTTGAGGGAATCGTCCCGCAACTTCAAAACGACCAGCAAAACTCCTCTGCGGATGAGCAGCCGACTTTAGCAACCCCTCAAATGTTGCTAAGATCTGCAGCTAAAAAAGATTCGGACTCCGATTAATCCACAGTGGAGTGTATGAGACCAATGCCTAAAAAGTTCAGATTTGTCTGAAGGTGGTTCTCGACCTGTAATACCACCTAATCCGCTTAATATTTCCCCACAAGAGGTTTTTGAGACCGGACTACCGGCCGGCAGACCCACAGTCTGCAGTAGCAAAACCCCTCATTGTAATTCCACAAACGAAACAAATATTTGTTTCTCGGCTACACCCTGATCTCACAACATTTGATGTTTCGTCTTATATCAAAGACAAAATAAATGCCGAAAACGTGAAGGTGGAAAAATTTAACCAGAAAATGCATGGGCTTATGCAAAAGCTTGGTTTATAACCATCTGATTTGTTTTTCTAAATTGTTCTGTTTAAAAGCAAACCCTATTTGCAGAGCCAAACGAAGCGCTGCCGTACAATACTGACATTATTGACTACCCTGACAGAAAATGAAGATCCGATGTATTCAAAATTGTATTCACTCCCGATGGGCGTGTCCGACTTTGAAAAAACAGAAACAAAAGCGATGTTACGAGACGGCATAATCCGACCATCTCGGTCTCTATATAACAACCCTGTTTGGGTCGCAGATAAAAAAGGGACCGATGAAAAGGGCAACACAAAAAAACGTCTAGTAATAGACTT